CGATGTGTTGCTAGCGGAACACCTCATCCGAAAAGGTGTGCTTGTGCCCGTTCAAAACTCACCGTCTTTGTCGGCCGGCTCCACGTTTATCATCGTCTGGGCATACTTCTTCGCGGTATGTCTGATTTTGTGCAGGACATGCTCCTTCACGTCCTCCTCGAGCCCGGAGCCCCATGATCATTCCCAAGTCAGTCCACACCTGGAAACATCGCAAAATCACATTAATGAATGGAATTAACATCAAGCAACATCAAGTGAACATTATATCATTGTGGAAGGTCAGGTCAGATAAGTTACTCCAGCTCACAAAAAGTTTGAAAGCGCGCCACGTCAAGTGTCAACCTCTGGTGATCTTTTACCTGATAAAAATGACTGGAATGCTTTCGTCATGGTTTGTGACAAGATTCCCAACTCCGCCTTGAGCGTTTCGTTACGGTTACGTTGCTTAGGACCCGCCAAGTTAGATGGGAGAGGGGGGAGTGACTTCCCAGCAGGCGGTAGAAAAACCAGAGGGAGTGGGTTAAAAATTATACAAATTTTCCAGATGTTTTCCTATCCAATTTTGTTCCCTGATAGCGCGGATATAAAATGGTGCCACTAATTATATAGTTAGTTCAGTTCAACCATCCCCCGTTAACGAGTTTCAAAATTCCTTTACCGTTACATCACGCTGCCGCGCTGGCGGGAAAAAAAGTTCCCACACATTCATAATACATAGGAACATGGTGATCATCTGGGTCAACTGGCCAGCTTATAATTGGGAAGTTTATAAAAAACACGTTTACATGAATGTTTGAAGCCCCGTTTCTCGATAATTCACCCTTAAAAGGCACAGATGTCAAATGTGACATTTTAACTACACCACGCTTACGCAAAGCCACTGTGACGTCACCGTGGCGGTCAAATTTTCCTACTGAACTACCCTGTTAGTAAAGGAATCTCGAGTTCAATCACACATAATATAAGACAAGACTTTTAAATACCTAATAAAGCAACACTTACGGCAGCTTCGCTGTACATATCCGGGAATATCTCCTTCATCTCCTCGCCAGTCTTCCGGTTTCGGTTGCTCGTGAGGCATATCCGCCGAGCCTCGAAGGATTCTTTGAGAACAGATGTCTTGTGAGTGACATCGGCGTGCTTTAGCTTGGCACTGAACTTGGCGGTTTCGGTGCAGATGTCTAGCTTCGACTTCTTCGTTTTGGGAAACATCCCCGGCATCCCCTCTTCAGCTGCCGCACGCTTTTTCACAACGATGCCCCTGGCTCGTCTTTCCGTGTCGATGACGGCGTTGCTCAGTGGCTTTCGACAGTTCTTGAATCTGTTCCAAAGTTTCTGTCGGAAGCTGTTCTTCCGCAGAGTCACGTTTGAGAAAGAAAAGAACCGTTTTTTTTAAATTTCATGGACAGCTTTATCAGGCAGTGAACACTGAACAAGATATAAATACGTTCATTTAACGTGTTTTCTTCTATCGTGATATTGGGAGGATAGAAACAACAAAAAGTAGATGTCCGGATATGACCGTTTTAATACGATAGGCAATGGGTACTGGACGACTATGGGTAACATCGACCACAAGACAGGAAACATCAAAGTGACACAGGAGGAAGCTCGGAGGACCCAATACGTAGCGGCCATGGGTGACAATTTGTCTTCCAGAATTTCATCATCGCGGAAATCTTCGTCCGCAAATCTACGTCAACGCATTTCTTGGATTGTATGGTCATACTACGGATTACTGTAAAGTCATACTAACAAAACACAAAGTATACAGTAATTTCAGCTTACCTTCGAGGACTGGGATGCTTGCTCGGTTCTCTGACAGAAGGCCTTGGTTCTGACGACTTGAGCACAATGGCGGTCGCGAATGGTCGCGAACTGCAGAGACATTCCGAAAATATTATTCTTGGAATAATACTGTGCTGGACGAATAGATTCATCACTTTTAGATTAGTTATGTCACAACGGAATAGGATTATCAAGAAAGTGATACAGTATTGCTTGAAATACGCTCCAGAATACTCCCGAAGAATAATGTTAGTAATGCTACCACATAATATTACTCCATGGTTATAAAATTATTGTCCGGACATGATAATTTTATCACGAAGGAAGTAATTTTTACCCCTACATGAGAATAGTTTTATTCTGTCGCGTCAATTTATCAGCCGTAATGGAGTATAAAAATTACCCTAATTACTCCACAGCGGTTTATTTTTATGCAGTTTTGATAAAAGTACTCTAGCTGTCAATTTTATTACCATCTTATGGGAGTTAAGCACAAATATATTCCAATGACCTTGTTTATCACTGTGAAATAAGCTAAAATTACCCCATGCCTCTTTGAGACTGATGTAAATTTATAACCCGAAAGAATAAAAAGGACACGTGATAAAATTAGAAGATAAAATTAGCACTTGCTAAAACACAAAAGAGATGATTATAGTACCAGGTTTAAGAATAACTTTCAAAAACGCCCTTAATGCAATGCAGAGAGTAACAATACGCTACAAAACATAATCATTATATGCCATTGGTGCGTGATTATTCGCCAAACTGGAGTGGAAAAACTCCAAAAATAACTCTCTAGGTGTAAGTTTTTTTCAGTGTACAATGACCCCAGCTATTATATACTGCTTGTGGCTTTATGACCCGAAAGACCGGATAGGGGGGCCGGGGGGGGGGGGCGTGAAAACGCCGAGGTCAACGCCTCGAAGTGTTGCGATTGGACCACCGTCACAACTGCGGTTAAACATTTCATTTAACAATTTCGACGCGTCGCTTTCTTTCGAAACAAATATGAAAATATCGTGATGCTCATTTCTTCATCATATTGGTTTTCTTGAACCCTTCTATCGGTTGTGACCCCGGTAAAGCAGGACGTCGAATTGCAGCAACTTTACCTACAGCCGGACTAAACCTTACATATGAAAAAGAAAAACTTAAAGCGATTGCTTACAGTGGGTTGTGACGTATGCTACCAGTTTTCCTACTGCCGGAAAACGGGTAAGGCAAATGTTTTTTCTTAAAGTCTTTGGGACTTTGATGGCAATAATTGTTTCAGTAAGATATTGAATGTCTTAGGCAATAGTAAATAACTTCCTTATAGGCAGTTGTGACATTCGAAGTGCGGCGATTCGATCCATCTTACAGCGATCAAAGTTCAAACTGAAAGCAGACGGGTCGCACGATCGTCTTCCTCCAAACGGTCAGGATTACCAAAGAACACATCTCATCAAACCAGCTAGATCACTTATGTTGCTCTATTTTACATACATCCACTCTTGTCAACCGGCCTTGGCATATATACGATCTTCGCCAACAACAAAACTAAGGTATATGAGCTGCCACGGTATAAAGCCAGTCATGGGATGCAACCGATGGATGGGTAACTACTGAGCTGATTCTGCACAGAGCATACCAAATAAACTGATTACAGCGTCCGAACAGAGCGGCAGATCCTCAGTGGCGTTTGGACATTATTTGTAGACATCATCACACATCGAACTCATCGCGACGCGCGCTTCAGAAAGTCGAGACGGCGAACGACGTTACAAAATAGTACAGAAGGCAGCATCACCATCCATGGATATGTCAAAGCACATGGCGTCGGCGGCGGAGAGCGGGGCCGCCCATTGAGTTACCCTGCGGCGGACGCTCCCTGCAGGGTGTCGAACGGCGAACCCTGCCGGCAGGCCGCCGAGCACCGGCCGCACGGCGCATAGCGGCCGGAACCCACGCGGTTGGCGGCTTCAAGATAGTACATACACAGTAAACGAGCACTGGCCAACACGCCGTGATGTGAAACTGGGCGGCAAGAGTTGTCACCACGTGGAGCCGGTAACAAAGTGACAAAAACGCGGACATTTTTCATCCGTCGGTTACGTACGCACATTTGATACCGGTGTGGTGCAGCCTGAGGTCTCTCTCGTATAAAGCAATCACTTTGCTCCGTTTTGCGACATTACAATTCAGCTAATTTCTGGATCGCCTTTGTCACTTTGTACCTGTGCTGCGACATTTGTCAGAAATTGACAGCTGATCAGCGCATCCCCGCCGGCGACGACCCCGGGTCACACTCACTCGGCAACACACCACCACAGACCCACACTCGCCAACAGCAGGCGCAGCTCGAGAGAAGGGCTTACAAAACGCTATAAAAACCGGCCAGCACGCTACCGTAACAGAACTACAAAAGAGCAAAAGATCGACGCGCGTACGACGCCGAACACACGCCTCTACCGGGCTCTGAGGAAAGGTATGCGGCACCTGACACTTGCCCGTGAACACTGCCCAGGCCTCTGAGGCTGGTCACCCAGCGGGGCCGCCTGGCCACGGCGCTGGACCCACCCACTGACCGGCAGTTGAATCCCCGTCCCTACCTAACGAAGCGGCCGGCCGACCGAGACCGACCGCCTCTCTGGCTACATCGTAACAACAAGGCAGTGCGTGCACGACATGGACTATACGGGCGCCGACACTGAGTATTTGGCAGTTGTGACGGTGGATGGAGGTGCTGCGCCGCTCAAGGGGAACACAACCGAAATTTACCAGTACTCTGCTCTGACCGCAGCGAACTTCCTACAGTTATCTGAAATGCGGGACAAATTTGGACAATGTTCGGTGCATGATGCGATAAAAGTTCCATTTATCGATACGAAATGCATCCAAGAGATATTTCGCCTCTAACATAGGCGCTATCAACACGAAGTGAGGTCGGAGAGGCGCTCTGCGGTACCTCTGGCGGCCGGGTACCGAACTACAGTTTCGGCTGTCAGCCACCAGGCGGCGCGCCGCTCCCAGAGGCGCCCCAGGAACTGATACTCTGGAAGTCGCGTCGCGCCACCTCGGACCGCACACAATTGGCAGTGGGATGCATACTGGGCGCCAGCTGCGCCTGTCTCCGGTGGCCCAGCGCTCGCCGTCGAGCAGCCGGGCCCCCGTTACCCTGTAGTTGGAATCGCGTTATTGCTAGGCGCCGGCGGCGGCTCGGCTCGGCCTCACGTGAGATCTAACCGCTCCTCCTCCTCCTCCTCCTCCTCCTCTTGCTCCTCCTCCTGCTCGCGGCGCTGGTCGCGGTCGGCCGGCGCGCCGTCGCCGTCCAGGCTGCGCGCCGAGAGCCGCTTGCTCTGGAGCTCTGAGATGACGCCCTTCATGAGCTCCTCGTGCGTCTCGCGGCCGCCGATGGTCGGCTCGGAGCCGGACGGTGGCCGGGGCCGGGCCTCCTGACCGCGCCCGTACTGCGGCGGCGTGCTCCGTCCGTACGGGTCGCCGGAGCCGGGGTACGCGGGCGGTGGCGGCCGGGTGTAGCCGCTCTCCGCCGGCGCGGCCCGGGTGTAACCACCCTCCGCCGGCGTGGCCCGTCCCTCGCGGGTGTAACCACTCTCCGCCGGCGTGGCCCGTCCCTCGCGGGTGTAACCACCCTCCGCCGGCGTGGCCCGTCCCTCGCGGGTGTAACCACCCTCCGCCGGCGTGGCCCGTCCCTCGCGGGTGTAACCACCCTCCGCCGGCGTGGCCCGTCCCTCGCGGGTGTAACCACCCTCCGCCGGCGTGGCCCGTCCCTCGCGGGTGTAACCACCCTCCGCCGGCGTGGCCCGTCCCTCGCGGGTGTAGCCACCCTCCGCCGGCGTGGCTCGGCCGTCCCGACCACCGCCGACCTCCACGTCCGACTTTGGCCGCATGTAGCTGGGGGCGGCGGGCGGGCCGGGGAAGGGCTGGCTGGGCGCGCCGGCCGGCCCCGCTCCCGAGCCAGGTCCGGGCCGTGGTCCCGCGCTGGAGCCTAGGTCGGGCTCCTCGCTGCGGGAGGGGTGCCGGGAGCGGACCCGACCCGGAGGCCGTGGTGGGAGCGCCGGCCGCTGACCGGGCGGCGGCGGCGCCGGCGGCCGGCCGGCCGGCGGGCACGTGTCAGCAGGTTGATTCGGGGAGGAATCGCGACTCTCTGAGCCACTGTCTGTGGCGGTAGTAGCTGGGTCGGAGCGGTGCGCCGGCTGCTGCGCCGCGTCCCGCCGCGCCGACGAAGGGGGGCGTGGTGAGAGACGAGAGCGACGAGCTGGTCCGGCTGTCGCTGCCGCTGCTTCCCGAACTGTCTGGAAAACGGCCCAGTAAAAGAATCAAGAAGCACCTTTGGGGGCGCTCTCTGTGCTTTGCGGTGAGGAGAGCGCCTCCCAGGCGTGGAAGCGGTGATACGTGATACAGCGCACAGTACGGACGTCTCCCTGCTACATATATTGCAGGAAAGGACACGGTGAGTGCATCAGACAATGCCAGTAATGCAGCGACTATCCAAATGCAGGCGGTGACTGTGCAATAGTGAGCGTGCAGACACTGGCAAAGAGTGGTGATTCTATCGAACTGGTTTTGCTATGAATGAGAAACGGTACCTTCAGAACGAGAAGGGCATACACATAAGAAAAGCAGCACATTTAAACCCATAATAATTGTATTTTCTCAATAAAGTCATAAGAATCGCACTCCGTAACCTTAGACGTGACTGGCTTAGGTAAAGAATCCCACTTGTGTTTTTATGAAGCAATGATGCAAGAAAATTGGTGCTGAAAATATCAGAAGAAATAACATTGCAGCAATGAGCAAAGCAAGGGAAGCACGACAATGAAACAGTTCGGCGGTGCGCTTTGGCAGCTGGTAACAATCAAAGCGGGATCTTGTCTTCCTGATATCGATCGATATGTTTTATAATGATTTATGTTTCTTTCTCTGACCCTGACATTCACTCACACCTACTGCACTGTTCGGGCTGCCCAGGGCCACTTCGCTACGGCCAGCGTCGCAAACATTACCTGACTTTGAGGGCCAGATGGTGAGCAGGTACTTGAGCACCGAGATGGGCTTGTGGAAGTCAATGTCGGTGCGGCCGATCTCCGAGTGTAGCATCAGCACCGGGCCGAAGCAGATGGCGACGTTCTGTGGCGTCATCTTGTTACACTCGGACTGAGAGGCCACCAGCCGCAGGTGGTCCATCAGAAAAAGCAGCGTGCACTGAAAGAGAGCGCCGGCTTACAGTCACTAAAGACTAGTGGTGTCAATCGGAACTTGAATCTTCGGAATTCCGATTTTGTCTAACGTCCAATTCGGAATTCGGTTGGACAATGACAGCAGGCTTTGGACAACTTTGGACAATCGCTTGCTACACCTCAACATTTTTATAAAGTAATCGTGTTTAACATTGATTGACTATTAAAAAGCCAAGCTTTCGATATGATCAACACTTTTGAGCTGGTAACGATACATTAACCCGCGCCCCGTAGGGCTACCGGCGGACCCTACCACCCGTAGGGGGGGGGGCGTTTCGGCCCCCCCCTAAGATCTCGGAAAGTTACCGGCCGATTTTCAAAATTCAAACGGCGTTTGATAGCCCTACCCGGGAACTACCTTGTGACCAAATTTCATTGACCTAGGTCAAATCGATGACGTCACAGGTCAGGTCAAAGGTCAGATTTTCACCGTTCACAGGCAATTCAAGAAATGTGCTGTGAAATCGAGTAAATTTGTAATTTATTGAAAACCATCGATGGTATATTGTTCGTCAAACACATACTTTGCTATCTGAGGCCACTGATACCAGGTCAGGTCACAGCGAGGTCAGGTCACCGGGGGTCACAATATGAATGTGTCGTGTGATACATGTTTTATGGTCCATTTTACATGACAAATGCGATTATGTGGGTTAGGCAGCCTTTGGGGCCAGCCTAGGTCACGTTTTGGTGAAGGTCAGGTCAAGGTCAGGTCAAATTAGGTCAAATTTCAAAGTTGATATTTTTGCATAAAATGGGTATCCATTCGATGCAGCTCATCACGGGGAGTCTAATGGTGGTCTTTGTTTTGCTCTACGAGTTCTAGAATTGCCAAAAATTGAGTTGGAAAATTTGACGTCATCATTTTTGAACAGTTTTTTCGCTATAACTTGGCCAAAAAACGAGGTATCGATCTGAAATTTGGTATGTAGATAGAAGACGGTAGGTACTATCACATATATTCCGGTTTTTTCGAAACTCAAAAAACTTTTTGGATTTTTTTGGCTAATATATCCAAAAAATGCTTTTTTGATTTTTGGGGATCAAAACTCAAAAATTTCACAAATCCGAGATAGCAGTTTTGTAGCCCTGTCAATTCTACATCTTTTATATCTGATCATTTTTCTGTATCTTCAAAGCTGTAGGCCTGACAGGTCTTCTCGCGAAGGTCTTTTTTCGGTCGAAAATGACAGAACATGACGTCACTCTGACGTCATTTATGGCCAACCTATCTTAGCCTCTGGAAAAATTTTTGGTCACAATGTGTAAAATTGATGCCCGGAGGGGTCCTGAAAGTTTGGTGGCGATATCTCCAGCCGTTTAGGAGATATCGACCAAAAAGGACAGGGGGGGGCCGTTTCGGCCCCCCCTACGGGGCGCGGGTTAACAGCAAATTAAATAACGGTGTTGAGTGTAAACTATTGCGTAGATGTCGGACATCTTTGGACAAATGGCTGGCTTGGACATTTTTGGACGGACAGTCGACGCCAGCATTGGGCATTGGGCGGACATTGGACACATGTTTTCTGAAATTGACATCACTACTAAAGACAAACACTACCATGCTCTTCACTGAAAAGCGGACGCTGATGCTGCTCTTTCAGTTGAATGCTTTGTTCAAGGTTCTGTCGGCTTGTTTCATCCATGCTTATATGTAGATGATATTTGTAAAAAAAACCGCAGGATCTATTGAAGTGAGGCGAATCTGCCGCGCTGTTGTGTTTTTACTATTAGTTCCTAGATGGCGTTGGCGACAAACGCCTGACATGTTATACTGTGCCGCAACGCACGAAAAGCTCTGCGCGGTCCGTGCAGTGTGAAACTTGGCAATGCTGTCATGCGGACAATGCAGGATGAAAATTCCACCTAAATGATTTGAACCACCCTTTTCTGCACATTGTGCGTCTTACCCTGTTGATTTTTGGCAGACAGTCGAGTATGGAGAACATGAGTTTGGCGTTGCCCTCAGGGTCGTCGGGCAGACAGACGGAGAGGGCGTCACAAAGCATCTGATACAGACATTTGGTGAACAGCGGCTCGGGTAGCTCGCGGAGGTAGTCCTTCAGAACACCTGCAGAGAGAAGCAGAAAATAGTCGGCCGGGGTCTAACGACGCAATGCGGTCTAATTAGATGCTAGCCGTGATCTAGCGGGTGATTATAAATTGATGATAAAAATGTATCAAAACATGCAAACGTTGATGTCTCCTATGAAACCCCGTATATTTTGCTTTCGCTTTGACAAGCGGTTAGGCATGAATCAATGACTTGCAACGTAAAAAATATGGTCAAATAAATAACAATCCTTTTCACTTACCGGTGATGACGTTGATGTCCGGCACGTTGTCGGGTGACAGGTCCACGGAGCGCGGGCTCTTCTCGAACGCCTCTCGGAGCAGCAGTTTTTTGGTGGCCGAGCCGCAGAGTCGGTACAGGCCGATGATGTCCAGGCCGCGCCGCTCCACCTCGTCCACACAGCGTTTGACGATCAGCGGCACGCTGAGACCCGAGTTCTCCCGCGCCACCACCGTCTCCAGGTCGACGCCGAACAGCGCCGAGCGGCGCGGGTTGGGCGCCCGCTCGAAGCACCGCTTGGGCTCCGTGTAGCGCAGCTTGACGTACAGTGTGCCGTGCGGTTCCACCTTGAGCGCCAGCTGGTAGACGCTGCTCTCTCGCAGCAGCGTGGCCACGCACACGGAGCCCTTGTAGCAGAGCTTGTGCCGGAACTGCGGGTCCCACGAGTAGATGAGGAAGTCCAGCTCGCGCGTGTTGATGAGGTCCAGCTCGAACGTCTCGTCCCAGTCAAACACCAGGTCGCCGGTGCGGATCACCGTGCGCGCCTTGTGCACGTGGTCACACTCGAGCACGCAGTAGAGGTCGCGCAGGTGCTGCATGCGTCCGGCCGGCTTCAGACCGCGCCCGGAGAGCAGGTGCACCCAGAGCATCCCCGAGGGCCCCTCCTCGGCACTGCTCGACATGGACGGGCGCTCCGACTTGTACCGCAGGAACTCTGCGGGGGGGGGGGGGGCACAACGTGAGTCAGAGATTGACTGGGCATTAGGCATTGCAGTCAGAATTATAAGAGTTGTAAGAGGAGGGTCACAAAATTGCAAATGGAGTCCAGCGACTGCTCTGAGAACTTAATGCGTTTGAAACCTTCTTGTACGGTGCCGATTAGAGGTGCCCTTTTTCGAACCACCAGCCCGCAATGAGCGGGTAGACAAAACTCGCATGGGTTTACGCGGGTTGCATCAGCAGGAAATACCCTGGTGTGGGTTTCATGCGGGTAGCAAAAATATCAGAAACTTCAATACTAAAACAAAACAAAATTTCCCCTTTAAAATGGAAAACAAATTTACTGGAGCATGGCCTAGAATGCTTCACATAGCAGTAAGATGTCCTGGAAAAATATGTCTAGAAAGTGGAAAAGCTTTTTGCCTGCATGTGCGGGTTGTTGCGGGCTGCTACCACTGAAGTTCCCCATGCGGGTAGTTGTGGGTACCTGGAGAAGGGTTGCGGGGCGGGGCCCGGCGGGTTACCTGGATCCCCAAAAAGGACACCTAGTGCCGATGCATGCCTAAAAGTATCCCAAAGTAAGGACAGTGTCAGGCCCTTTTCCTCCTCCCTCTTCCTCTCTGCCTCTCCCTTCCACTCGTCTCTTTATCCCCTCTCTTTGACCTCAATCAGTCCCCACCTGCCGGGTTGATGTTGAGCACGGAGAACCGGGACGCCTGGCCCGGCTGCGGGGTCGGCGTGATGCTGCGCTCCTCCAGCAGTGACCGCAGCCTCTGTGACAGCGGCGGTCCGGCGGCGTCCGCCGGCGCTCCGGCGGCCACCGGCGGCCGGCGGGGCTGCACCATACCGGGCGCCTGGGCCCGCAGCGTGCTCAGCTGGGGGCGGTACGAGTAGTACGGCGACTCCTGCGGGGAGGCGAGGGGAGTCAGAGACGGGTACAGTGACTCAGTCAGTAGTGCGGCGACTCCTGCAGGGAGGCGAGGGGAGTCAGAGACGGGTAGGGTGTCTCGGTCAGTAGTACGGCGACTCCTGCAGGGAGGTGAGGGAGCGTTACTGCGACCACGGGGAGGCGCGGAGACAGAGTTGTTACTGGGAGATGCTGCTCATTTATACTCGTATCTTCGTGTTCTTTTCACTTCCGTGTTGAGACGCATCCGCGGCTTATTAATCGATGGTTGGCTGCAAGATGAGCTCATGAGATTGACAATAAATAGTGGCCAGACGACTGAGAGCTTTTCTCAACGAACATAAATGCACACTTGAAGAACTCGTAAATGACTATTCGTTCAGCTCTGGGGAAGTGGGAAGTCGACTTTTCGTTTCCCGGCCCGCAGCTCCGTTAATACGGCCAACTGCATTAGCGACAATTGAATTGCTCTATAAGGGCCCCAATGGTGTCGACTAACAGCGCTTTTATCATCATTGAATAACGTTTGCCGACAGATTTAGAGCGTTTGTCATTGTTGACGCCAACAGCGACAATGTTTGAATGGTGGCGCCGACTGCGGTGATTGAGGAGCGCTGTTGGAAGGCAGCCACGCGAACAAACTCCGTAATGTAGGTGATTCGTCCTCTTTGACGAGGTTTGCTTTTTGCTGACAAGGCCAAATGTATCAAAACTGTATTTTTAATGTAGTTTCTAGCACTCTGAATATATCGTTAACCGCAACACAGATTCAACGCTGTTGGAAGTCCTCCTGATTTTAGTGAGGTCAGCATCAGACAGATCTGACCAAGTCTGAGAGATAAACTGTTAGATGGCAGCTCGGCCGAAAACTCGTGACTCACCTCCACTCCTCCGTGAAGTTAACTCCGGGACCTCTGCGGAAAAGTGGCCACTCATCTCCACTCCCGTGCGCGGTGACTCTACGGAGATCCTCTACTTACATCCACTTCTCCATGAAGTTAGCCCCGGTAACTCTGCGAAAGACTCGCCTCCACTCCCCCGTGCATTTGACCCCGGTAGCTCTACGGAAGACTCGGCCTTACTCACCTCCACTCCCCCGTGCAGGTTCTCGGCGCTGAAGGTGAACCGAACCCCGCGGTGGCTGGGCGGCAGGCCGGCCGCGTCCCGCTGCGACCGGATCCTCTCGTAGATGGCACTGGTGGAGGGCGCTCGCGAGAGCCACTGGCTGGCGTCGGCCGGACCTCCGCCGTACGCGGCTCCCGCCTGACGCATACTGGGCGGTCCGGCTGTGGACAGGGGCGTACATTATTAAAAATCTCCTGCAGGTTTACCCAAGGACCCCGCGCTTCAGACGGGCATCCTCTCGGGCGCAGGCGACTGAGACACTGCAAGTTCTGGAAGTCGTTTAATTAATTCGGCCGGCATGATCTGTCCCTGGGGTGGGAGCGGCGCGCGTCAGCTCGGAGCCCGGCCGGGCCGCCGCTCCAGCTCCTCCCGCCCTGGCGCCGCAGCTGCACCCGGCCCCGGAACTGAGCTCAACTCGGCCGGAGAGCGCCGGCCGGCCGCAGCCCGTTTGAATTATTCCCGACATCAATCTGACGGTGGCTATGTGTGGCTGCTGACATTCGAGAGCGCCAGGCGATATGTCGGACGTATGCGCCAGAGCACAGGCGATTGCTCATGAATTTTAATAACACAACGTCCGCAGTTTCCGAGTTTCTGAGTTACGAAACTAGAGCCAGTCGTCGAAACGTGTTTTGGGATTGAGGCTGCCACAAGCATAAGGAGAAAAAGAACAAAAGGTTAACGTTTGGGGTAGCTTTTGTCAAGGGTAGGTACTGACTTACATGAATTCAATCAATTGAGAAGTGAAGTTAATGGGCTGCGTTAATAACTGCAAAAGTTGATGGAACTCAGCTGCTGACGCCTGACTCACAAAGTCAGTCCACATGTTAACCCTCGCATGTGTAGGGGGGGGGTCGGATGGACCCCCCCCCCCATGGTTTTTCGCGAATAACTCGCGTAAAAAGCGGCCGATCGCGACGAAACTTTCAGTACCCTCACATTGATCAATTTTACACCTACCCTGAAAATTTCATGACCCTGACCCAAATGACCTTTGACCTGTGACCTCTTTTCCGAGACCATGTTTGGCCGGAATCGTGATTCTGCGTATGTCGGCTCGCATTAGCCGCGCGTTTGCAAGCTTTTCGTGGTTTCAAACGTTCAAACATGTGATTTGATGTTGCTTCCATGCATTAGGGTGGGTGTCAAGGTCACCTGAAGGTCAGGTCAGGTCATTGACCTTTGGTGACCTCGGGTGACCTCGGTTCACTTTTTCGAGCTGTACATGTTTCTAGGCTAGTTTTTGGAGCTGAATTCGAATTTAGCAACCATTTGAACATTTACGAAGTAGTTTTGGTGCCTTCGTAACATGTTACGAAGCTGTCAGAGGCGGTTGACACGTACTACGAATACCCGTCACGACGCCTACTGGTTGACCTGACCTGACCTGACCCGACCTGGTCTAAATGCTTAAAGACATCATCTGTGATCAAAACTAACACGATATTCGTGATCAGCACCCCGAAAAACCCCTCAGCAGCCACGTTTTACGACTTTCTAACAGGTCCCGATTTTCCCGACTTTGGGTCATTGACCTGACCTGGAAGGTCAACCAATGACCTAGGACCTTAAAATTGGGTATCATCGGCTTCCTCTCGTCACGGGCAACACGCTCGTTTTTTCTGCGAAGCTCTAGCTCGATCAGGGGCCAAACGGCAAGGGGGGGGTCCAACCGACCCCCCCCCCTACACATTAGAAGCTGGCAAACGCCGCACACATGCGAGGGTTAAATCCCCATTCAGTGAAAAAGAGCCCTCCCCCGCCATCCTCCTCGCTGCCCTCTGTTCCCGTCCGCCCGGACCCACCTCTCCTGGTGAGCAGCTCGGGCGCGCTGACGGCCCCGTCGCTCTCGTCCTGGCTGTCGGCCGTGCCCGCCGAGCCGTAGCCGGAGACGTAGCGCGGCCGTCCGCGGAGCACGGCGCGCCCGTCCCGGGGCAGAGAGTTGCTGCGCGGCCCGCCGGCAGCGGCCAGCTGCTGCGGCCGCGTGCGGTGCGCCAGCGGCGGCCGGCCCGGCGCCACCGCCTCAGAGTCCGAGGCGTAGTCGAGCGAGGCCGTCCGGCGGCGCATGGCGCTCAGCCGCTTCATGGTGTCCGTGTAGCGCAGCGGGTACTGCAGCGAGGAGGTCTTGAAGTTGGGCCGCATGGCCGGCGGCACGGAGAGCTCGGCCGGCTCGGTGTCGGTCATGGGCAGCCGCTGGTCGCTGTAGGTGCGCGTCACCCCTCGGCCTCTCTCGGCGCCTCGGCCCCGGCCCCGGTAGTGGCCGCCGCCGCGCGGCAGGCTGCCGTAGCCGCCGCGACGCGCCGCCGCCGCGTACAGAGACTCCACGTTACCGGCCAGAGAGTCGAGCGGGCCGCCGTGCACGCGCTCCGCCAGCGACTCGAGCGTCTTCGGGTGCGGGCCGCCGCGCTCGTAGGGCGCGAAGAGGGGCGCCGAGCCGCGCGGCTGGTCGGTGACCACCGGTGGCGGCGGCTGGTACGAGGTCACGGAGCTGGCGTCGCTGTGCCACGAGTCGCTGGGCGGCAGGCTGCGGCTGGCGGCGCCGGCGAACTGGGAGCGCCGCGCGCGGCTGTACGGGTCCGGGTAGGCAGCCGCCGCCGACGGGTCCCGGTGCACCATCGAGCGCGTGTAGCCGTACGGCGAGTCGTCGGCGCTGCGCTGCCGGCGCGGCGGCAGCGGCGGCGGCGCCGTCGACGGCGGCGGCGGCGCGCGCTCCGGCTCCTCCTCCTCGAGCTCCTTCTTGATGACGACCACGGGCGGCGGCTTGGGCTCGATCCGGGCCATCGGCGGGCTCTCGGCGCCCTGGTGGAACCGGCGCTGCCTCGTGGTGAGCACCAGCCGGCGCGGAATCGACATGATGATGACCACGTCGTCGAGGCCCATGCGCGTCACATCCACCAGGTTGACGGCGAGCACCTCGTCACCCACCCGCAGGCAGCCCGAGTTGTACACGGCCGACTCGAGCGCAATCCGGGAGACAAACACGCCGTCGGAGCGGTCGGCGCCGTTCCCCTCGCGGATGTAGAGGCCCAGCGTCTGGCCGGGACGCTTCACAATCTCCACAAACTGGATCGTGTGCCGTCCGTCCTGGGGGAGCAAACAGAGCGATTGACGAGCGAGTCGAATGAGATATTGAGTATAACTAAGGTGTAGGTATGTTGCTTACATTCAGTGCACATTTATTATCGTGCTTCATTAGATCAAGGTGTAAATAGTTGGCGGCTAAGTGCTTCGTAAAACTGGTTGCCGGGGCACAGAAAATTAAAAAATTATTATCGATAAACCTAACTGATAGACGGAGCATAACAGGGCTTCGACGGCTCACCTGCAGGGAGAGGAAGCGCTTGGCGCTCTCGAAGGCCTTCTTGGAGAGCCGGTTGGGGTCGAGGATGCGCACGAGCATCTCGCCGCGCTTCTCGACGGCCTGCAGTGCCGCCGCCGTCGACGCGTCCATGTCGTTCTCGATGGTCTCGATCTGGCGGAAGATCTCGGTCGAGATCCCGCTGACCTGGTGAAGAAGGGAACGGATCTGTCAGTCAGGCTGGGATTTGGGAAGCGGGATGTTGCCAGAAATATAAAACAGTGGTCTTGATGGTCTAGCTTGCAATGGTTGAACTAGTTGAACTCTGAACTTTGGTGGCTGAATTACAATGATTGTTGAGTTTACGACGACGAATTACAAGCGCTACGACGGCTTCTCATGCGACGATATTGTATACCATTGCATAGATTGCATTTCTGCATGCTTTCCCACACCACAACATGTCTGTGAGCTTCTCAGAATAATATCTTCTACGGTTGTTTTCAGCTGGCTGGTTTGACAGTGTCCCAGGCCATGACTTCGTGACCTTATTTGATACAGCTGAAATTCTCTGCAGAGTTTTTCATTGCAACCCGTCTATGAACATAGACGTAGTGGCAAAGTTTCTGTCCAATTTAACTGCTCAGTGGTCTGACGGAAGCTCTCATATCGCGGCCCAAATCTGCGTCCCAAACAGCTGCTCCTGCCTTTGTGGCATCGGCATGTTCCGGGAGATTTATCTTCCGAATATTACATGCATACCTACGTACAATATCTCTCCATGCTGCATCAGCACTCAGCAGTCATATATTCTTCACGATCAAACACAGTACGCATATAATCACTATCCCATGTTAACGTATCACCAGTATAACGCCTTTTGGGGCGACTAACGGAGCGAGCGAGAGAGTGGGCCTTGCACGTGCGAAATTGCGAGGGGTACCTCCAATTGACTTGTGCAAGGCACCCTACAAACCGGTCTCTAGCGATGTGCCAAATTTGAGCACAATCGGCCCAGCCGTTCTCGAGATCTGGAAGCGACACCCTGCACGTGCGCACGTGCAAAATGGGTCCCGACTGACTTTTGCACGGCACCCTACTAACCGGTCCCTAACTGTGTACCAAATTTGAGCGCAACCGGTCGAGCCGTTCTCGAGATCTGGAAACGACCCCTGCACGTGCGCACGTGCAGCAGCACCCCAACTCTGGCACGTGCATATGCATTGCCTAGTGGGTGCCTACCTACATGCCAACTTTCAGCGCAATCGGCTCAGTAGCTACCGAGATATTGCAACAATTGCAAAACTGACACCTCTTCGTTTTGCACGTGGCACGCGCATAAGGGGTCACCCACATGCATCGGGAATAGTCTAATACTTGGTAGAAGGAATGAAGCTACCCTACAAAAATTACCGCGTGTAAATCGGTCAAGTGGTTGCTGAGATATAAGCCTCGCAAAAGCGTGACCACGGCCGGCCGGCCGGCCGGCCGCTCATACTCAGAATTAATCTAAGGAAAGGCTACGCTCGCTTCGCTCGCTCCGTAATAAAATCTGTGAATTATTTTCCTTGACACGTTTTTTTTTTGGCGATTGTGCACCCGACGGTTTGTGAATTGCTAGTCGATAGTCGATAAGATATTTATTATGAATAACATATGATAAAAACACGAAACCGAAAAGACGATGTGCACACACGAAATCAACCGTAACCTCAAGAGCATCGGCCATTCATTATCAATCCATGAAAGCTGTAAAGCAATCGTTACGAATTGATAGAAATGAGAGCATTTACTCTTAGAGGTGAGGTCACTATGTGACCTGGTGACCTCATGATTTTTTTTTTAACGTGTGCAAAAAATGCCTCCCATTTAGTTATTTTCTCGCCACCTAAACATGACGTGCGAGCTGGATGTATTTATCATCGTCAAACGGGAGCGCCCCGTTAATTACTATAAACTAAACCGACAGTCCCATTCGCCGCACTGCACGGTGACCTATAGCGAGCAGCAAACTCAAGTCCCAGTAATCCCCCGGGAAAAAGATTACGACATATTTCAGGCACCCGGAAGGGTAGCTAATTTGACGCCCTGCCAGACCTGTGCAAATTGTACGTAGATCGTAAGAATTTTACCGGGGTAGTTGGGGTCGGGATACGAATGAAATGACAGAAGCGTCAGAGGTACGGGAAAGGTACGGGATCTTGGGAAAATGCTCTCATATCGCCTTTTTACTTTTGGCTAGAAATTCAATTCAGTATTTTTTATCAAAGGTTTGTAGGAATGTATTGCATTGCATATATATGTATTTAATATTATATGTAATGTAGGAATGTGGGCATGTATTGCCCCCAAGCGGCGTCCTACTCACACTGATTCCTTTTGTTTGCTTATTCGGTTTGTTTCCGAAGGGAAAGACGTGCATGTCGATAGCTTGAAATTTGAATCATTGAACACTCTACAAATATTTGTGGTATTTTTGGATGCTTATAATGGTCTATGATTGCTTTTATACCTCTAACACTGACATAAGATATCATGCAATTTTATTAGCATTTCAATTTACTTTCCAAACGTTAAGATCGAATGACAGTCTTCATAGTTATGCTTTATTATCAAAAGCGCATTTCGCAATTTATATTGTGAAGTGCTAAAAGTCAAGTTTGCTGTCTGGATTTCATTCGTTAACCATTCATCACAGTTTTATGCACTTCATGCAAGTACAGGCAAATTAATGACTTGGGCGGTTGCAGAAGGATGATGAATGGCTTTCGACTGGTTTATCGGTAGACCCTCGGAGTATACTTTATCAGTTTTATAGCATCGGACTTGCATTGTGTAGTATTCTGCTTGACTATTTTATGCAATGGTGTGCCGTTTGTGTCTACAATTTTTTTGGAGTTAAAATAAGCTTTAAAAACTATACTATTCATGTGATTATTTAGCTTGGTTAACCCTCGCCCGCACATGCCATTTTCCCATCCTAGAACGCACATGGGGGGGGGGGGTGGTTGCCACCCCCCCCGCGCCATTTCGTTCCTGTTGGAGATAGAGCTTAGCAGTAAAGACCAAAAAGATTCTTTGGGAAGAGACGAATCCAATGATACCCAGTTTTACCTTCTCAGGTCAGTCATTGACCTTCCAGGTCAGGTCAAACTAAAAAATGTTGCTGTTTTGGGTCACCGTTGGATATCAAGTGTGCTGCTTATCAAATACCGATGACGATGCTGTTTTCTGGTGCCAAGCCAGCTAGAATCTCTTTTTCACACTACCCGACCAGAATTTTGCTGCTGAGGTCATTTCAGGTCAAGTTAGGTCAAGGTCAATTATATGTGTTTGTATGTCTGTGTGTGTCTGTGTGTATACTGATGTGTGCACCGATTGTTTTTGGGTCCATATTACATGAAATCATGATCTGAGAAGCTTTTACCAAAAATGCAGTCAAAAAACTTCAAAAAAAAAGTAAATTCAGCTTGCCTAAAACGCAATTATCTTAGGTGACCTAGGTTGACCTTGACCCTGACCTTGACCCCTGTACATCGTCGAACAACATGTTCCATAATAGGTAGGAGGTAAGACTGGCAAAAAAGGCCGAAATCAGGGTGTCAAAAGCTCATAAGGCCCATGGCAAACGCAAAATGATGAGAATTGGCCATTTGGGTCATGACATGACCTGAAAAACAAGGTCATATCTCCGAAACCAAAAATCACAGAAACTTGAAATTTTCAGTGGACATCAAGAAAGGATAGAGGAGCAGCTATACGAAAAATCAGCCTTCTAGCTCTAAAAATGTTGAGTGCAGAGCAGAAAGACTACCTGGGGGGGTGGCAACCACCCCCCCCCCCCATGTGCGGGCGAGGGTTAAACCTCGTCAGCCCAATTCCCTTTCGGTGCTATGAACACTGATTCTTTGGAGTTTAGATTGCACTATCATGTAGCACATTTGCCAACCTAACCACTTGGCCATTGAACGGTTCGACAGCGTGGGACCCACCTTCCTGAAATCCTTTTGGACGACCATCTGCGGCATTCCGCTGGGGCCGGGCTGTGGCCCGCCCTGCTGCTGCTGCTGCTGCTGCTGCTGTTGTTGTTGCTGCTGCTGCTGCTCCTGCTGGTGGTTGTGCCGAGGAGATCGTCCCATGTCCACAGGCTGATCATTGCCATCCTGCGAAGAAGCCGAGTCTGGGTCATGTTCCACATAAAGTGCGATTAGATCAATCGTGTCTCGCACTTTGGGACGAGTCGTGCTTTGAACCACGGCGTTAGAACCTTTTGTGATCAGTAATGGTTCGGGGTGTCTTACCAGAAGCTGATTGTAACTAGGTTGGTACCCACCAAAAGACTCGTGTTTTGGAAAAAGCTCATGGAGCGTTGTCTTGTACATAAACTACTATAGCTGATTTCGGAAACAAACAACAAGCGAAAGCAATTTAACATTGTATTATCCCCCTTTACAACTATTTATCCCACGGCATTCTGTCTCTGTTTCTCTGAGTGCACAGGCCATCCTGCCAGTGTGTGTCTGTGTGTCTGTCTGTCGGGTCGGCCACATTGTCTGCGCTCCACGTCACACCGCGGCCGCATTGTCCGCGCTCCGCGGCCTCCACCGGCCGACAAATAGCCAGCATCAGTCGGCGGCCCGGCCCACCAGCCATTGATCACATCGACTGGACGGCCGGAGCGAGCAGCTCACCCGGCGCGGTCCGTCCGACACCGGCCCGGCAGCCCGCGCGGCGCCCGGCGTGCGTGAGCGTGAGCGTGTAGTGGGCCGGTGGCAGAGCGGGCAGAGAGCGGGAGCGCCGGACCGCCGAGCGCCGTCGGAGCGAACGACCGACGCGACGACCGACGTCCTTACGCGAGGTGCTGGAGTGGTGTGAGGTCGAGGGCCGGCTCCTGAGTCATGGCGATAGTAAGGACCGGCCATTGAGTCAGCGAGGGGTCGAGGGACGTCCCCCGAGTCAGGAGGACGTAAGGAGTCAGGAGGACGTCCCTTGAGTCAGAAGAACGATCAGAGGCCGGGCCGATGACACGACACGGCCGTCCCGGCGGACAGCGGCCGTCGGACGATGCCCGCGGGTATGTCGGGTCACCCGGCTGGGCATCGAGCGTCGCTGCTCGCCGCCGATGCGCCGCTGCTCGCCACCGGTGCGCCATCGATCGCCGCGGCGCGCCGCGTCCGCCGCGCGTCCCGTCGCTACGCACACTAATCTTGTGTTCGGGCGCCGGCAGAGAGGACCGGCCAACAACGCCTGATTAGCGGCTGGCGCCGGCGGTCATTTGCGCCGCCCCCGGCTGCACGCTGCTGGTTCCCCTTCCCGCCCCGTGCTCCTCTCCGGTCCCACAGAGCTCGCGTGTTCCTCCGTCGGCCGCCGGTGAGTCTAACGGTGTCTGCCGCCGGTCAGACATTGCCGCCGCCGACTCCGGGGCCGCCGTCACCGTCAGGACGTCATCATCGCCGCCGACGGCTGGCGCGACGGGGGGAGGGCTAATGATGCGCCTCGGACGGAAAGTGTGCCGAGAGACGGACGGAGCGCGGCCGGGGCAGGCAGGTCGAACTCAGAAACACAGCAGCCATAACACATAGCCGGCAGGCGGGGTCAGAGCTGGCGTGTGTAGTTGGGATATAGTATATAGCAGACTGCAGAGGTCGGGCAGCGGCGGCTATAAGAACTTACGGGACTGACAGAGGATGAAAAAGGAATTTGTTAGACTGGAGGCGGAGAATTACGGGCGTCGGACGGACGCCCGTCCGTCTGTTTGGAGACAGACGGACCACAGAGGACGGGTGTCGGACGGACGAAGGTCTGTTTGGAGACAGACGGACGCATGGAGGACGGACGCCCGTCCGTTTGGAGACAGACGGAACACAGAAGACGGGCGAAAGACGTACGGAGGACGGACACCCTTCCGTCTGTTTTGAGACAGACGGAACACAGAGAACGGACGAAAGACAAGACGTACGGAGGACGAACACCCTTCCGTCTGTTTTGAGACAGACGGAACTCAGAGGACGGGTGAAAGACGTACGGAGGACGGACGGAGGTGGACTAACAGAAAACAGGAAAACAAGCTCCGTAGGAAGATAGCTGGCAAGTGGGCACTGCTTTAAACTCCGCACGTTGCCAGGATGATATGCGCACTAAAGACGGCTACTGATCATATGGCGTTTTTTCCCGCCAGCTTTGTTGGAAGCCAATCCCGAACCCCCAGCACGAAACCAATGAGGCGTGGCTGCCACATATGGCTGGGATGAAGTTCACTGTTGCAGAAATAAGCGACTGCATGGATGTGTGTAAATTAGATTTGGGGAAATTATGAATGCATTAAGAGGTGAAAATGGATATTATCTCCTGACTGACGGAATGTATTGTCTTTATAGTTTTTCTTGCATTATCCACCGAATCACATGCTCCATATATTGGCTTTCTGTCGAGAAACGCGGCAATATCTCTGATCCCGGGGCCGCATATATCAACATTATTGCTCAGCCTCCTTCCACATACAGAAAGGCAATATAGGGTGGCTCCTCCTTATCCTATGGTGGCGAGAAACTGGTGAGTGCCTCGAGAGCGAGAGCTGACCCCTGACCCACTGGCGGATGATAGTTGAAAGGGATGTCCAGAAGTCAGAACCAAAGATCAAATTTCACAGTTTCGCGTGATCAGCAAAACTTTAATCAAGCGAAGAACTAAAACAGTCCTGCCTGAAAGGGTTCTCATGTCAAATCAGTCACACACTATTATCCTCCACCCACAACCCATGCACCCGTTCCAGTTCATCAGTCCCCACCTTCCCCCACCATCCCGCGCCCCAGATGCCCGCTCCCTCATCATCCCGCCGGCCGCGGCCGCCCACTTCCGGTGCTGCTTCCGGTCAGTTCCGGCGGCGGCGGCCGGACGTCCGGAGACGGCATCTGTCCCCCTCTGCCCCCCCCCCCCCCACGAGCCCCTGGTGACCTCAGGCCAGCCGCGGACGGGTGGCCGGGGCGGGGAAATGGGCACTGGGAGGGAGACTGATGGAGACATGAAGACGATGTGAATACCATGAGACAGGCCGGAGAGCGATGAAGATGGAACGGGTGGATCCTGACCAGTGCTCTGCCGATAGGCGACCCCATCGGCAATCAGATATCAGGCTGTGGAAGGAGGGGGTACCGTCAACATTGTTGGTACCCACGCGCCTGTCACACATCTAAATTTTCGGGTAAGTAAGACGTAGCCCGAATTCATTGCATCGCATGCACTTCAAACTCTTAGCAGTCCTTGTGCCACGGAAAATGAGTTTCTGTTAAAACAAAAAATAAATGGTGATTTCTGGTTGAATTTTTAGGTAACAGGCTGTCTGCCGTTTGATAAGAGATATATTTCAAGTCTGAGTGGCATTTTGGAGTCACTCTCCTCCAAACACATGGATAATGCTGCATCGTGGCTTGGTGCCCTGTTCGCTGCTGCTGCCCGGCACGCGGCTGCAGCTGCACTGGCGGCCGGTGTCGGTTACTGGCCTCAGTCTGGCCATCAGTCTTCTGTCGCTGACCTGCTCGACGCTGCAGCTTGGTGCCGGTTAGTGCCTGTCAGTCATCCGGTGCTCCACGGGTCCCTTCTGCTGTTCGGTGCCGGTTAGTGCCCCTCAGTCATCCGGCGCTCCACGGGTCCCTACTGCTGTTCGGTGCCGGTTAGTGCCCCTCAGTCACCCGGCTCTGACCGGGCGCTGACCGGGCACGTGGTGCGACTGAGAATCGCCCCTCGCGCCGAGTTCGGACCGGCCGGCCGGGGGGGGGGGGGGTCAGACGGCCGCCGGGGGGGGGGGGGGGTCGTAACGACGGCCGTCGGATGGCGGCGGAGATGGCGCCCGTCGCCGGTCACGTGACCGTCTCCATGACAACCGTCGACTGGCGGGGCCGTAACCGGGTCGGCCGGCCGCCGGACGCTGGGCGGCCGCCTCTCTCGGGCCCGGCCGCCACGGGTGCCGACATAGAGCGTGCAGTTGACTCGGTGTTCTCAGAAGCGGGCCCAGAATACGGTTAGGGATCGCATTATGAGCTAAAGTGATCACGAAAACGGCATTACCCAGGAAACGAGCTTCCGTGCCTCGCTACCACAGCGCTTGCCGTAGGTCGTGCTCACTCGTATTTCTCGCGTAAATGTCAGCAGTTCGGCGGAATGATAAGCGGACGGAATTAACGGGTAGGTACGGTTTCGGTGATATATTCCGTAGCAATGGCGCTCACCTCCATTCGATAATGGGTGATGTCAGTTAGTCAGTCAGCGCCAAAAGGACTCTCAAAAACAGAACTCCCTGATGACATCGATACTTCACTGACCATAGGCGGCGGAACTTGGAGGGCACCGGGGCACCGTGCCCCCTTTGATTTTGGGATTTTAACATTAACCCTATTGGCGTTGCATGGAAAGAATGGGACCAAAAGTCGGCAGTGCCCCCCCCCCCCCTAATTGAAGGTGTTCCGCCGTCACTGTCACTGACGACCTGCACAGGCTAAAAGCGATTTTCGGCAGACGGGTCAGGTGGATCCAATGGAACCAAGCGTTAATATTTTAGACGCTTCATACGAATGGAGAAATCTTTGCTATGGATTACCATTGATCTGAGTTTAGCTGTAATTAGACAGCACATAACGTGTAGCACGGGAATATGTTTAGCGCCGCCGCTGCTGCGCCGTACCATCAATCACCGGCCGGTGTATGCGTCACCGTCTGCTCGCGCTGCCGGTGACACGGCCCGGCTGGAGGGTATCGCTCGCCATTAGAGCGGTCGATGTATTGAGCCGGTCAGTGTCGAACGGCCGCACCGTGCTGACGGCGTTACCTTCCCGGTGGACTGACCACACTTATCGGAGTCGATCGGCGGACACTGCCGACGGCAGGCTGCCGTACTTATCACCATACCAATCTTCACAGCTGTACGACACAACGAATCCTCACTTCTTTTACCTCAGAGCTGTATTCTCAGCAGTTTTGTAGTGTTTCAGCTTTTAGAGCCTTTAGCTAAGCGGATTTTTTCAAGCAATAATGATGGATCAGGATGACCAGTTCGTGTTCACTGTTCATGTTTTGCACTGATGCCGTTACAATTTACCAATATACCTATCTCAAAAGAAATAACCGATGCTTTTGCACACCTCTTGCAATGTCTAAGGACTGCTTTTGCGCACAAGTTTGTGCGGCGCATATGTTATGTCACACAAAACCGTGTGTCATATTACATTCTTCGGCCCAGAAACCGTATGTGCTTGTTTCGTGACTCCAGCCGATCGCGCTGGACGGACATGAGGCCACGTTTTGCCTTACGTCGCACGAGAGAAGTTGAAAAGAATGTCGGTCGCATGGCCGTCTGATGCAATTATGTTAAACTATGCCATAGTAGTCTGTGACTATGCAATGTATAGTTTGACCTGCACAGGTTTACCGCGTTCGATCACATTACTACGTTGACGGCTGAAAGATGTCGTTAATTGCAATGAAGGTTAATTTTGTGTTGGTTGTTCACTGGGTTTTGCTTCATTATTGTCTGTGCATTTTTGAGCGTAAGCAAATGAGAATAAAATGATAAAATTCAAAGCAGCTTTATCTAGACCCGCATGTTCAACATACCAATAACACACATAACTCAGGAAAATCATACAGCACACGTTGTCCGTACCATACCGAACAGCTCGTCGGTATAGGCGCTGGTAGGCTATGCCGCACGGCTCACTGCGCTGGTAGGCTGTGAGGCACGGCTCACAGCGCTGGTAGGCTGTGCTGCACGGCTCACTGCGCTGGTAGGCTGTGCCGCACGGCTCACTGCGTCTTTAGACTGTACCGCACGGCTCCCTGCGCTGGTAGCTGTGCCGCACGGCTCACTGCGCTGGTAGGCTGTGCCGTACGGCTCACTGCGGCCTTAGGCTGTACCGCACGGCTCACTGCGTCTTTAGACTGTACCGCACGGCTCACTGCGCTGTTAGGCTGTGCCGCACGGCTCGATGCGCTGTTAGGCTGCGCTGCACGACTTTACTATGACGAAAGACTGCAGGGTCCGCTCGGGCTTACTTCTAGTTTCGAGTCGCAGTTTCCTCATGCTTAGCCCGGCAAATGCTCATTAGTCGGAGTGTTTTAATGCTGACATGAACTTTTCATTCTTTTCATTACAAGATTCATGCATAATAATTACTCGCGCTGGTGAACTAAACAACACAATACGAACAGTCAGTGAGCCAATTAGTGCCTAATCAGCACTAATTAGTGACTAGTTGGCAGACCAGTCGGCTGGTCGGGAAGTCGGGCGCGGTGTCAGTGTGCCTGCTGTCAGTGACCGATACTAATCCCCCCTGTCGCTCGGTCCCGCCCCCGCCCCGCCACCATTGCTCAGCCAGACCGCGAACGGCGTGGGACGAGCTAGTGTGTCGGTGACGGGCGTGGGAGGGAAGGGAGGGAGAGAGAGAGAGAGAGAGAGAGAGAGGGGAGGGAAGGAGAGAGAGAGAGAAAGAGAGAGAAAGAGAGAGGGAGAGAGACATAGAGGGAGAGAGAGAGAGAGAGAGAGAGAGAGAGAGAGAGAGAGAGAGAGAGAGAGAGAGGGGAACAGAGAGGGTGGAGAGGGAGGAGAGGGGACGGAAGGGAGAGGCAGAGGGATGGGTAGAGATGATAGAGAGAGAGAGGGGGGAGAGAGGGAGAGGGAGAGAGAAAGAGGAGAAGAGAAAGGAAGAGATGGAAGGAGAGAGAGGAAGAAGTAATGGGCAATGTTAAGGGAGAGGTACACTGAGGTCGAGGAACGGATGACTTTTAAACATTTTGCAACCAAAGTTGCGCTCAAAGCGTGCAAATATGTTGACTCACAAGTCACATGTCAGCGGGGTAATGTTTTGACAGGACGTTTACAAGCATGGCTAGACAAATGAGATCCTCTTTGTTGGTTAAACGAGCGATCATTCCGAACCCGTCTCCAAATGGGCTGATCCAATAATGCGTGCGCTTAGGCCGGCAGCAGCGCTGGTCCACCGCCGGTCGGGCCGGTAAAATTGGACGCGGCTGACACACGACAGATGGGCACTGACTGAAAACCGCGCCCGGCAACAGCAGTGGCCGCCCGGCGGCGCCGGCGGGTCGGTCGCCTGCCGACGAGACGTGTCGGCGCCGACCGCCAGACCAGAGCGAGCCGTCGCCATGGCAACGCCGCCGGCGTGGCCCGATCGAATACCTGGCGGCAATCGTCCGCCGGGCTGCGGCCGTCCGCGACCCGCTCTCCGCGGGCTGATGTCCAAACGGTGAGCCACATTGGCCACGATCGGTGACAACGACGCGGCCAGCCGGTCACGGGATCGGCCGAACAGGCGGTACTCAGCGCCGGAGCCTGTTGATTGCCTGGAAACCGGTGACGTTCGGCGCCGGTAACGCCAACAATGAGCCCATTGTCGTCAGGCGGACGGCCGTCTAGACAGGGTGTGCCGTGGATTCAGAGGTGACACACTTTGGCCCGCGGCGGCGGCGCGACCGTTCGGGGCTGTCGCCGGTGGCCGCTGCAATGGCATCGACCTCGCCGGCTCGGAAATGACCTCGCTCATCCTCGGATACAGCGTTCGGAGGCCGCCGGGGCCACGGCTGCCTCGGCAGCAGCAGCGCTCGGATACGAGAGAGAGAGAGAGAGAGAGAGAGAGAGAGAGAGAGAGAGAGAGAGAGAGAGAGAGAGAGAGAGGGAGAGAGAGAGAGAAGAAGAGAGAGAGAGAGAGAGAGAGAGAGAGAGAGAGAGAGAGAGAGAGAGAGAGAGAGAGAGAGAGAGAGAGAGAGAGAGAGAGAGAGAGAGATGAGAGAGGAGACCATGGGAGTCGTGAGGCCCGTGGCCAGCCGGCAGTACTGATGGTGGGTGATCCGCGGAACTTCTGCTCCTAGACTGAAATAAATCACATCCGAGAGAGTTCCGGCAACCGCTCAAAGGTGGTAAGATGGGTCTGAAGTCACCAGATCGAGTTATTGAATCGTGGTACTTTTTACTGTTGTGCGCAGATCGATTAAGCTAAAGAAACTATATGCTAGACGCCAGCGAATGCTCATAAACACAAATGTGCAAACTTATTCGCAGAAGTAGCACATATGGCGTCGATTACTGCAGTGGCGGATCCAGGGGGGGGGGGCAAAATAGGCATTTGCCCCCCCCCAAACGGCATAATTTTAACATTACGCCTATGGACGAGGCATGGAAAGGATCGATAAATTGTTATGGTTTGCCCCCCCCCCCCCCAAAAAAAAACTCCGAGCTGGATCCGCCTCTGGATTACTGCCAGGTGTCAAGCAGGTTTCCATACCTAAGAATGCATGATAGTCATCACCATATACACTAGGCATACGATTATGTGTACATAATTAGGATAATTGCTTTGAAGAAGGTCGCTGTAACTTGATTTTGGATCATTTTGTTGTCGTTGTTACCATTTAGCTGACGGTGCTTTGTGATGGAGGAGGAAGGGATTTGAATGAGATTGCAGGATTTCTGTGATACTCTGAGTGTTCGTTTATTACAGTTTTGTTTACTGCTGCTTCAATGATGATATGGTTTCCAAGCTCAATATTTCGCGCTTACTATATCGCATTTAAAGTATCACTTCGCACATTTGAAAGTATCCTCGGAACACTTCGTAGCTACATTAACCTGTTGAAGGAACTCAACAGCTGACATTGAACAATAAAATGAGCTTTCCGTCACTGGAATCGATCGTCGTTGAAGTAGCGAAACGACGCAGTCAGATATCGTAATGTTCCGTTGGCTTGGACCACTGCGACGTTCGCTGTTCCCTGACAAGAGCGCGCGATACCGGTGAATGTATGTGCTCGTAGGAACTGACCTTTTTCCGTCCGCAGCAGAGCATGGCTTCGCTGGAGATGCGGAGCTTGTGCCTGACGCGTCTCCTGAAGCGGGGCACGGCGACCATCTGACACGACGATCAGACAGCGGCAGAGTGCATAGCCGGACAGGGGAGGCCTGTCGGAACAGGACAGTGTGTCAGACACAGACAGACAGACAGACAGACAGACAGACAGACACAGACAGTGTCAGACAGCGGCAGAGCGCATAGCCGGACAGGGGAGGCCTGTCGGAACAGGGCAGTGTCAGACACAGACAGACAGACAGACAGACAGACACAGACATTGTCAGACAGCGGCAGGGCCCATAGCCGGACAGAGAGAGGGCCAGAGGCCTGTCGTAACAGTACATACAGTGTCAGACACAGTGAGCACTGAGCAGACAGTGTGTTGGACACAATGTTAGACAACTACGTAAACAACTCGAACAGAGAGAAGTCTATCGGAACAGAAAACATGATGTAGTAACAGACCAATTACATAGGGCACCGATGATAGACATTTGAGAATGGAAAAATTAAAAGTTGCATTGCATAAAACATTCAGCCTGTCTTTGAAAGATCACACTTGTCTAACCAGCCTGGATTGAGTCCTGAACTCCTGAATACCTCGGTATCAAAGTGCTTCACTTAGCTAAAACTTTTTGGCTATTTGAATAGTGATTCTTTCTTGCAGTCTATGTCTCTGAGTCCCTATTGCATGTACATGTATTCATTTCAACTATTGGCTCGCATATTTATTACAGTTACCATTAATGATATTCATTACAAGACGTAAATAACGGTACAACTTTCCTTTATTTCAGGACGTCAGGTCAGGATCCTAGTTTTTGCCATGTCATCTTTTTTCTGTCGTGTTTTTCTTCCCATGGCCACGTCGGTGACAGATCCCATCAACTATTTACCGTGTTAAGCACGATCGGCGCGTCGACGGGACATGTGTAAGTGTCTCGCATACATGAATCGGTAACGACCTGGCGCGCGGGGCCGCCGGGATAAGTGGGCGCCCGTCCCACCGCGCCGCGCCGGCCGGCCGCCAGCCACCCATTGGCTCAGGGACGCTGAATAACATGGCTAAACGAATGAATACTGATGGCGGCGGCACGCACCACCGCGGCGGCAGCGCGGCAGCCGCCGGCGCGTCAGCGCGTCCGAACAGGGGAGCGGGAGGGGAGGGTCGGTGACTTGATGTGGTGCGTGAGGCGCGTGACTTATTCCGTGTTATCCCGCTCTCGGAGCAACGCTCTATATGTACTGTTGTCATGTACTTTTTTATATCTTCTCTGCTGTTTATCAAAGCGTTGCTTCGTTTGAAGTGTATTTCTCTTTGTCATTAGGCATCCTAATTAAAAATAAACTTAAAAAACATCTCAAAACATTTATTATAAATTTAGGCAGGTACCTACTACATAGCCTGCCCCATAGCTCGGTTGGTAGAGTTTGGACTCGTAAGATCCCGTCGTAAAGTAGCCCCGGCGATCGGTATGTGAGACTCCTGACAGTAATGGTATGACTCAGTATGAGGCTAGTGGGACCAGCCGCAGTCAGCTGAAGTCAGGCTGTGGGTCAGGCTCAGACCGTGTCCAGCTTTTATGGACGCGCTAAACACTGGCATATAAATTCTTCTGTTACTCGCAATCTCACGCTCACACGGTAGGGATATGGGCCTACGCAATAAGCATTGCTCGGCGGGATTCTGGCTTCGACAACACGTGATTTTCAATATTCGAGTTAAAATTACAAAGACATATAATATAAGGCCTCATTAGAAAGTCATGCAATAACTATCGTTTGATTAACTATGTTACATATACGAGTATTCAAGAAATATTTCATTCAACGATCCTTTCCGACGATCATCGGTTGCAACACGTTTGAAACGATACAATGCGATGACGTTATAAACTGCAAATGAGCCGCTCTCTTTAGGAAATGAAGCATCCTATTGGATGAACCCAAATCAGTATCATTCATTAGCTTCAGTGGAAAATATAGGAAATAAAATTCAGCTGACGTTCGTCCCCGAAGTGAGTAGACCGTTTCGGTGAGCTTATCAGTGAAATTCCAATGAATGAGTGGCCAATGGTTCAGGTTCGCCACCAGTGCAGTGGCTGATGCTTATGCAGAGTATCTGCCATGTTTCAGTCTATAGAAAAAACAAACATGAATACGCGTTTTTCGGGCTTAGCCTAACCAAATAAAACACCGTTTAATTTACCCTAACGAAACTTAAGCTAACATTTTTGATCGTTTAATTGCAAGTTAGCCTAAATCTGGCTTATGCTGATATGAAGGGAATATGAAGGAGCCGTTGAAACAGAGCCAGAAAACTTCGCCACGGTTATCATGCGACCAGCTGAACTTTCCGCAGATTGGGAGACACTGCTACGGAGTTGAAGAGGCTAGTCCACGGGCGTAAGTAATTCTTTTTTCCAATCAAAGGAAGGCGCTATACGGAGTATATCCCAGTGCGTCATTGTCAAGTGACTTACAACACCTTTATCCGGCCAGCTGTCTGCGAGGTGAAGTGGTTGGTTAGCGCACTAGCCCCGTGTTCAGAGGACCGAAGGTTCGAATCCCGCCGGCGGCTGAAATTTTTGGCGCGTTGTAGGTTTGTAGGCTGTAGGTTAGGTCAAGTTAGGTTAGGTTAGGTTGTTAGTTTTTGTTTGGTTTGGTTACAAAGAAGCATCTTCAGGTATAGTGCTTACCTTTGGTTGGAAAAAAGAAACACGCAGTCCATGGATGGCTCACGCCGCGCTACATTTATGAACAGGCATTAGTGACGCAGTTCCGAGTCCACGGGTCCGGCACTAACATCAAATTCGGTTGATACGTTCAGAGCATATTCCCAGGAATATTCACCGCGGACGGCAAATTTCCCGAAAATGGCCGATCGGAGTCGTTCCCGGATGTAATAGGTGTTCTCTATGTGATGCCACAATGCGTGCGTGGTCCTCGGCATCAGTATTTCGGCTCGTGGGTCGTTCACATAAATCTGAGCGAATGAGGGTGGCTGGTCTCCGTTGGCTTCAAGTGGTTCAAGTCGGTCCCGCAGTCCGCACCACATGTACACGGCACGTACCCGCCGGTGCCAGCAGGCTGTGGCACCCGTCACGGCTCACGCGCAGACATCGACGACAGGGCCAGCGCCGAGTTCAGACTTCAGATGCCTGGAAAACTGACGGAAGGTACGCGCTTCCACACCGTCGCCAGCCCAAAGATGGCGCAGCACAGGTGGCGGGGCCGGCACGGGGTCAAGGAGGACCTCCCCCACCCCACAGCAGAAGGTGGCACGTTCACCCAACCACCGTAAGGCCGCACGCGCTACGCCAGCCTGCAGCCGCTCCCCTAGCATCATAGCATTAGTTTGCACTAAAACATACAGGGTGTAACGAAATTATCCGGACATCTATTTTTTTTTCGCCATATCTGCTCGCACAGTTTCTTGTTTAATGTGGAAGCTGGAAAATTGGATGACTGCATATTATCACAGACGGTGTCTCGGTCCAAACTGTATTCGAGCCGGCCTGGTAGCCCCCGGGTCACAGAGGCAACGCCACCACGGTTCACATACGAGTGTCATGAGCGCATGTCACGAGCGCAAGTACGCGTGCACCGGCGCGGTGGCCGCCAGCTCAGCTCCATGACACTCCTCCACCCCGAATACTTGCACAGCATGGACAAGCAAATAAATACGCACCTCGCAGAACAAATAACAACTGAAACAAAACGCCTACTCATAGCTCGCCACGTATCGGTCTGGGGGCCGCAGGGTGGACCGGTCTCTCAGCCGGTACCGCGGCGCGCTGGGAGAGGGTGCGGACGGCGGGACGGTGGTCACACCCGGCGCGGGCACCGCTCCGGTCAGCCCTGGTGGCGGCGCCGGAACAGGCGGCCGGCCAGGAGCAGGCGCTCGATCAGGAGCCGGCAGCCGGTCGGGAGTGGAGGCCAGTTGTCCGGGAACGGGAGCATGCCGTGCAGATGCAGCGGCGCTCTCCGTGACCGGATCAGGAGCAGGTATCGGTGTCACTCTGGAACGGAGAGGATCGTTAGCGACATGCGGAACAGCTGAATATCGCTCACGAACCTGGTCGGCGTGCCGCACAATCACCCTTACGTCATTTAGCTCCACAGTGACCTTAACTCCCTCTACGAACACTACACGACCGGGCGCCCACCGACAACGCTCCAATCCCTGCAATCTATCGACAGCAGGCACATACACAGGGTCACCCGGGTTCAGACATCGTTCACGGGCATTTCGATCACGGTACGTCTTTTGAGCCTCCTGCTGTCTCCGTATACGCTCCTGCCTATCTGGTAGCAAACCATCTAAATGAGTGCGTGGCACACGACCCAGAAATAATTCGGCGGGCGTACATGAGGTCGTAGTATGCGGTGTTGTGCGGTACCTAAACAGAAATCGAGAGACCTTGGTCTCAATGGACCCCGAGATCTGTTTGTACAGCCCGTTTTTGAAGCTTTGCACGCTTCTTCCGGCTAAGCCGTTTGATTTGGGTGATAGGCTGGGTGTCGTTAAGTGCCTGATCCCATTTACACTGCAAAACGTTTTGAATTGCTGTGATACAAAACACTGGGCGTAGTCTGTCACTAGCACTGTTGGCACTCCCCAGCACGCAAACGACGCTCGTAATTTTTCAATCGTGATCAGTGAGTCGGAGGAACGAGTTGGGTAGACGTCCATCCATTTGGAGTGGGCGTCGACTATCACCAGAAACATCTATCCGTTAGCCGAGCAATAGTCTACATGGACTCGCTGCCAGGTCGAGTCGGCCACTGCCAAGGATGCAGTGGAGCGTCAGGGGCCCTGCCCTTCAGTTCCTGACACTTCACACAACACTTCACGATATCACGAATGTCGTCATCGATTTTTGGCCACCAAACATACATTTTAGCCAACATTTTGGTTCTACACTCGCCAGCATGACCTTCATGTAATAACTTTAACATGGCACCCCGTCCCTGCGGCGGGACCACCACTCGTGACCCCCACAAAACACAGCCATCCTGCACACTCAGTTCACCTTTACGGGACCTGTACGGCTGAAAATCAGGGCTGAGGGAAACACTATTGACATCCGGCCAGCCATCTCTGACA